TTCTTTTATTTAATTCCTTAATTAATATGAATGAATAACTTCCATAATTATTACATAAATGTACAAAATGACATAAACACCCTTATTATTTAAATTTAATTGAAAACAAATGGAATTTTCTGATTGGTCGAATTTGGTTCACACGGTTTTTAAGAATTGGACGGTTCGCATTTGAACCTGCCCCTATATATATATATATATATGTCAAAATTTGGGATAAGTATATTCTACAAAATTTCCTTGTCTAGTATCCTTACTATACTAAAATTGCGACAAGGGTATACTTGTCATACAAAACTTCCCTTCACTAATTATGATAGTAATCATATTCCTCGTCCAACCCTATTCTATTTTCTTTTCTTTTAGTTAAAATTTTCGCACGGGTAGCGATATTGTGGCCATACTTTATAAGATAACGATTTGAGTACATATTTTCTATCATGCACCATCCCTATTTCATCCCAGTCTAAGTCAACTTGGGTTTCTATGCATCATCTAAAAATTTCCTTCATTTGTGTAACTTGAAAAAGACATTTGTATATTATTTTAGTCGAGAATGTTCTTGTCTTGATTTTTAGTTCTTGGTTTAAGCGTCCATTATTCATCTTTGCAAATCTTGTTCTTCTCTAGGTATGCCTTCCTCTTCTTCATCTTCTTTTATGTCATTATCAATAGGTAGATTATTTTTTACGCGTTCTCTTTCAATTTCGGCTAACTCGAGGTCGAAATCTGTGTCGGAATCAACCATCTAAAAGGAGATACAAATATGAAATTATTAAACTCTTATACATATCGGATGATGTATATATGTTTAAACGTATGTGTTTGTGAATGTATATATAGTATATATGTGTTATATGGGGCTTTATTCGGTTTTATTGGAGCATAATCCATTTAATTGGGTTTTGTTTGGTTTTATTGGGCCTTAATTTATTTACCGGACTTTATTGTGTTTTTTTTTAAGGGTGTCCGGGCCAAAGCCCGACTAATCCCCGGCAAATTTGGAGGCTAAACATGGCCCCACTTAAATGTCGCCAACACTCCCCTCCCAGGGCTCGAACTTGGGTTCATGACTATGTCATGCCCAAGCCTTTACCACTAGGCTAATGAGCTTTATTCAGTTTTATTGGACTTTATTCGGTTTTATTGGGTCTAATGGACTTTATTCGGTTTTATTAATTAATTTTTGTAATATTCTAATAAATAATAAATAATTGAAAATTTAATAATCAATAATCAAAAATTAATAATTAATTAAAATTGTAGTTATTAAATATAAAAAATCAGCGAGGGAATCTGTTTTTGGCCAGATCTCTTGCTGATCCCTCGCAAATCAGCGAGAGATTGACCAAAAAACTCATTCCCTCACTGACCCCCGAGGGATTTTTTCCCTCGCTGATACATTGTTATTCTAGTAGTATATAAGTTTTTTAGGACACTTTTGATATAAAGCGTACCATTATCAACTTTATAGGACACTATTTGAAAAACTGTCATATAAAAACAAGTGTCTTATAAAAAATTGAGTTATAGGACAGTTTTTCAAATAGTGTCCTATAAAGTTGTTATGAGACGTTTTATATTAAAAGTGTCCTAAAAAACTTATTACAACGCCAAAAAAAATATCATATAAACTTATTACAACACCTTTAGATCGAACATTTTAATTTTTTGGTCCTATAAACAAGGCCTATAAAGAGGTCTATTAGGACGCTTAGAAATTGGAAGCGTCCTATAAACCCAATTTTGTTGTAATGCACGAAACTATTTCCACAAATAATGAAACAATGGAACGTCATAGAATTATCTACATCAGCTTGTAATTCAAGCACAAACGGTTGGTCCTATGGATTATTATGTTCTGAATAAAAAATGTGTCGCCTTTTGTGCACAACCTTGTGATACATGGACATAACTTCACGCCCAATTGAGCCTTTTTGGACATCATTATGCAAATCATCCATTATTTGTAAAAACTAATGAATAGTAATTCAAACATTAGCCAAAACAATCATATAAAAGCAAATACAAATATGCATTCATAAATATGCGTTCATTGAATGATAATTGCTTTGTATAATGCACAATCTTGAGATTTAAACTTAAGAATTTTATGCTACCATGACATTGTTTTAACCACAACAAACATGATATTTCAGTTGTATATTTTTGGTGTTTTATCAAAGGAATTCTGACGGTCAAATTTACTGAAGGATTTCTGACAATTAATATAAGATCACGAACAAAAGAAAACATCGATAGATTTTTCTACGGGTCTAATTACTAAGGATTTCCTTTGGAAGTTGTCGGTAATATTTGTTTTTTGAATAATTCAAAATACTTCGTATTTTTTATAGAAATCTGGATTTTTTTGTATATAATGAATTAATGAATAAAATAAAAGTTGTAAAAGTCTACCATAATGTTCTGATTAAAATACAAAGTGTTTCAATCAAAATACACCAACTAACCAGAAGGGGGAGAAAGGGGCCTGATCTATAAATCAGCCTCGAAGGACTACAACCTCATCTGAAGAGTCGACCTCCTCGCTACAACGTCCCGCTCTACATGCTCCACCTCCACCTCCACCTCCACCTCCACCTCCACCTCGGCTGCATGTGTTGCATTCACATACATTCATATATGCAATTGATCAATTCATATACACAATCATACATTCTATATAATTAGTTCAGACACTACATATAATAGGCCTGTAAACAAACCGAAAGCTCAGCGAACCGTTTGGCGGGAAGTTCGTTTATATTTATTTATTTAATTAATGAACGGACATAAACATATTTTTTGTTCATTTAGTTAAATGAATGAACATGAACATTTTCGTTCATTTATGTTCGTGAACATTTTGTTCATTTATGTTTGTTAATGTTCCTTTACATTTGCTTATGATCGTTTACGTTTGTTTAAATATATATATATATATATATATATATATATATCATAACATTAATATGTAAAATAATTAATTAATTTAAATTCTAGGAATTCTTTTTTGTCCGTTCTAAGTTACTCGTTTGTTTCATTTTGTTATATTATTTTTAGGAGCGAAATTATGAGTAATGGCGGCTGCTTTTTGTTCATTTGTGTTTGTTTGTTTATGTTCTTTTATGTTAGTTCATTTATGTTTTTTCAGTTAGCATCTTAACAAACGAATATAAACAAACAAGAACAAAGATATTTTCTTAATGAATGAACATGAAGACAAAAAAATTCGTTCATTTACCATTCGTGTTTGTTCATTTGTTCGATTAAGTTAAATGAACGAATAGGGAAAATCCTCCGTTCGTGTTTGTTCAGTTCGTTTACAGGCCTATACATTCATACACTTTTCATACCATACAATACTACATATATACATACACATGTACATCTAGACATTGTATGCAATAGATTCATGCATTATTTATAACTATATCTATTCTATTTTATAAAGCATATTAGAAAAAGTCTAAAAAAAACCTATAAAACATATGGTTAGTGCTTTTTTATGCATAATTTTTACAAATCTCTTAACTACAATCTTATAAGCTTGATATACAACTTATAATGCTACACTAAGAATTTGGGTTCCAATACCATCACTCCTCTCTCTCATACGATTGTCTTTCCAAGACAATCGCTCTGATCGCTCCTATCATATTTCATCCCCAAATTGATGATTCTCAGACTACTTTCCCAAGATGATGATTGAATTTCCTAATATCTATACGGTTAGGGTTTTATGTTCAATGCTTTCTTTGTCATGATTTCATTCTCCAAAGAATGAGAACCCAAATATAGTCTTCTACACCAAATTAACCAAAGATGCTCTGATACCACTTATTGTGAAACGTAAAGGAGACAATGCTAACTTAATCCCAAATTAGAGTGTTGTTAGTGTACAAGACAAAATTACCAAAACATACAAATATGATGTTTTTTCAACTAAATATGCATCCAACACAAAGTAAAGAGATAGAGTTAGAATACAACACCAAGATTTAAGTGGAAACCCAAATCAAGAGAAAACCACGAGTGTAGGAGACCACCAAGAGAAATCCACTAGTGAAAGATGAAGATTCCAATGCTCTTGAAGGAGAAGAATCACAACTATGGTGAGTGTGTGTATTTGAAGATAAAATGATAAAATGTCTAATGTCTAAACATGTTCTTCAGTTGGGAATTTATGCTAAAAGCTCTAGCTATTTTGAGAAAAACACTCAAAAGAGAGAAATGAAGTGTAACCTTGAAGAACTCGTTTTGGTGAAAGTTGTAGATGCCAAAGATGAGTCTTCTAAGCAAAATTAATTTGATTTTCATGACCCAAGGAGAGGGATTTCAAAAGAGACACAATCTCTTAAAACAGGAAAAGAAATCTGCTAAAAAAATCACTTTTGAGAAGCTATGAACAATGCTCGTGCCCATTCGCTTAAAAGCCTCGCTCCATGAGCACCTCCCCAAACACTTTATGCCTTCAAAATGCATGTTTGGCGCGGCCGCGAGAAAATAAGTTGGGTGCCCATGAGCAGACCAAAACTTTGAGTCACCATTTAACAAGTTTTTAAAGAGAAATGGTTGAAAGAATTAGAGAATTTTATTGTGCAATCAATGTATTTAGCATGTTCATTTTATAGGGTAAAGGTGTTTGATGAAATGACTAAAAGAAATATTTGTTTGGATGTTGAAGGTTTAAAATAAGAAATTAAGTTGAAAATGCAAAAAGAAATTGACAGTGGAGGAATTGTGATATTAGGTGTATTCCCGAGATCCATTAATGGTGTTTTACTGCCTTCACTCTAATCTATACACATACATAAAGAGAGAAAGGAGAAAGGAGAAAGGAAAAAACCGTATAGGAGAATGAGGAACACAAGTTACTTTCTTTGGGTATAATTGTGTCGACGTCACCCCAATCTATAGGTAGACTCTGGACCAGTAAAAATAGATGGTTAGAGTATATGGATATTTGTTTGTCTTGAACACTCTTTAAATATGGAAATAATAATCAAATTTATTCATGTGCTTGTATTAAAATTAATAATCATAATTTTAAAAATGAGATCAAGTTGGCAAGACATGGGTAATTTCAATGCGAGTTGGTTTCGAGTAAGAATAACAGTTATCAGAAGAATAAGAAGGGATCTCTACCTTGGATCAATCCTAATTGAAGATCAATTAAAATCACCCTTCTCATCTAATTCATGAGTTATTTTGGGACTTATTCTGAACCATTGGATCATCACTAATTAAAAGTGATCAAGGGTCCAAATTCCTTCTTACACTTCTAACCTAACCTTTATTCTCACATGATCCTTCGTATTTTCACTTCAAAGTCATGTTTTCAAGTTCAAAATTTGTTTCCAACGGATCCATATATGTTTGAACGATTCGTAAATGTTCAGTATTATATTGTGTATATGAAATCTGACATTGACACATACGAAAAATATGTTTTCATCATCGTAACATCATTTTCCTTTCTACCTATTTTCAGAGTATATACTAAATGTACCCAACTATGTATTTTATTTAGTAAAAATATATTTGTTATATGTATTCTTGTTTATATTCATTTGAGTTTTACTATCTCCTTGTACTACGTAGGTGCGTTTTGCATGGATAAGACAACTAGTATAGATACATTCATATAATATTGTTGGTCACGGTTCCAGCATCTTCCTAAATCAAAACGTGGCGCTGGCTGCTACGCTTTAAGGGAAATAAGGTTGTGCCTTCACCAAGGCAATTGCTTTTGGTGTAGTGGGTAAGSGCTTGATCCTAACAATTGGTATCAGAGCAGGTCATGGGTTCGAATCCCATGGTGTGCATAATATGCAAGGAGTGCATAATTATGAGAAAGGCATGTTGCACGGCCATTGACTTCTAACGAAGCTCTTATTAGTACCGGCAGATGCTGGGGGGGATTCTTGGTCACGGTTCCAGCATCTTCCTAAATCAAAACATGGCGCTGACTACTACGCTTTAAGGGAAATAAGGTTGCGCCTTCACCAAGGCAATTGCTTTTGGTGTAGTGGGTAAGTGCTTGATCCTAACAAATACAATTGATTCTCTTAACATACATATTTACAAGGGATTAATTAAAGGCATATTAAACACTGTAAAAGCACATTTGAACCAATAATGCCTGTAAGGACCTATTAGGGCCTAAGTGCCCATTAAATCCTAATAAAGCACAGTACCACATAAAAGACCAATTGTCAAATGAAATATAATGTCATTAGAACATATTAGATTCAATTAAGTACAAAAAATGCAACTAATTACCGACCCATATTTACCCGTACACCAAAACACTCGATAAAAAGTGGGAAATAGTCTAAAAACTTATTGTAAGTTATTATATGCACACGACACGTGTCATACAGGGATACTGCTAGGGAGTATGTAAACCTGTAGGGTCATACATAGAAAATACGTGTTGAAACCCCGATTAAATCAAGTTTATTATGGATATAATTTGATTTATAGTCCATCTATTATTCCGACTATATAGATAAGTGTTGGGTCATTGACTAACATCTTCCTAAATTGAAACGTGGCGACGACTGTTACGCTATAAGAAAATAAGGTGTGCCTTCTCCATCAGCAATTGTTTTTCGCATAGTGGTAAGCGTTTGAATCCTAACATGTGGTATCATAGAAGGTCATCGGTTTGAATCCCATGAGGTGCATAATAATGCCAAAGGCATGTTGTGCAACCATTGTCTTCTAACGAAGATGTTTTTAGTGCTAGCAGATGCTAGGGGAATTGTTGGGTCATTAACCAGGATCTTCCTAAATCAAAACATGACGCTGACTGCTATTGTATAAGGAAACAAGTTGTACCTTCTCCATCAGCAGTTGCTTTTGGTGTAGTGTTAAGCGCTTGGATCCTAACAATAAGAAGCTAGGCTAAATCAAATTCCAACTGATTGAATCTTTAAGAATTTAGCCTCTCTGAAAATACAGAAAAGAAACATTTTTTTTTTCTGTAATACACATATAGATCTAGGGTTCTTGGGATAGCACCCGTAGGAGTTATCAGCATGTTCGTGTGTGAATCATTTGTAGAGAAACCTGCTTTGGGTTCTGAATGCTCAGATGATACATACTCCTAATATATAAAGGTATAATTCTAAACACCTATGGTGTGGTTTTAGTAAATGTCTCATTGGATTTGGCTTTGGGTTTTTATCTTAAAAAAAGCTTTCTGATTTTTATTTGTAACCAAGTTTTAATTTTCTACTGCGTTTACGGTTACAAAGTGTATTAAATTCAACGGTAATATCGGAGCCACTTTCAACATTTAATTTAATTAAAAGGGAACTATAAATTTAGATGACAAATAAATTAATTGGATCCTAAATCTAATTGGACCATGTTGTGATTGGCAATCAAGGTTATATCCCAATGTAAGTTTGACTGTGAGAAGGAGTTTTTAAGCCTATTATCATCGTTTTCTCAAAGAAGGCCTTGGCCTCCTAAAAGCATGGTGATATTCCCGTCTGCTCTCACAGCCCTGGGCCACGACCAAGACTGTTGGGGGCTGGTCTCAACTTATGGCTATTGGTTTTGCCCGACCAGTTGCTGACTCTTGCTGGTAATTTTTACTCCTGTAGAGATATTGGTGGGTTGCTGCCCTATCAAGTTTGAATCTAGTCGGACCGCCACCATAAAGCCACGAGATTGCCACCTGCAGCGGCCAGCATCATGGGCATTTCATTTGGTCGCTGGCCACTGCAGATTTTCTTCGTTATTCAAGTGTCTGCAGCCTTCATTTTTGTTTATGTTTTAGTTTCTCCGATGATGATGGCCAAAAAAGTCGTCGGCTTTCCCTAGAACTCGCTAGCTGCTGTTGTTTCTTTTTCTGCCCGGACCTCTTGAGACCATGGCTTCGGCGTGGATGTTACTGATTACCGGGTGCCTTCTGGCTTGGGTCGATCAGCTGCTGCTGACTTTTGGTCCACCACACCACTGCTCCAAAAGGTTGGCGTTTGGTTTTGTTCCACGACACCACAGCTGGCCACCTTGACAAAATCGATAATCAAAGAAGGGTTTTTCATTCTTTCATTCATGCTTTCAAATCAGAATACACGGAGGCTATATATAATAGCAAAAGAGATGAACGAGGAAACAAAAAAAACCACAAAGATAGGAGATATGCACGGAAGGGAAAAAGGAAAGTAATCTAATCCTAATCCTCTAATCCCAATACTCCCCCTCAAGTTGGAGCGTGTAAGTTTCGAGCGCCCAACTTGTCGAGGAGAAACTGTAATTGTTGCGTCCCTAAGCCTTTGGTGAGAAGATCAGCAATTTGTAGTTTAGTGTTAACAGAACGTGGAACAATTTCTTTGGTGTCAACTCGCTCACGAACAAAAAAACAATCCATCTCCACATGTTTTGTCCGTTCGTGGAAAACGGGATTGGTAGCTATATGACGAGCAACTTGGTTATCGCAGAAAAGAGGAGTAGGTCCAGTAGTATTTTTATCCAACTCTTTCAGCAGCCATCTAACCCATAAAACTTCACTAACTGTTGACGCCATGGATCGGTATTCAGCTTCAGCTGAAGAACGGGAAACCACAGATTGCTTCTTTGTTTTCCAAGAGATAGGTGCACCTCCAAATAATAGCACGTAACATGTTCTAGATCGTCGAGTAAGAGGACACCCTAACCAATCAGAGTCACAATATGCCAAGAGATCACCACCACCTTCTCGTGGACGAAGGACTCCTTGACCTGGAGTGGCTTTTAGGTACCGAAGCACTCGGACAACTGCATTCATATGAGATTGTCGCGAATCTGCGACAAATTGACTTAAAAGATTTACCGCGTAGGCTACGTCTGGTCTGGTTGCCTGCAGATAGAGTAATCTCCTAACTATTCTTCGATATTGACTAGCATCAACCTTCGGCTCCTTTTCAGCCTTGTCTAGTTTAAGGTTTTGTTCAATGGGAAATGAACTAGGCCGACACCCTTGCATACCACAATCATCAAGTATATCAAGGATGTACTTCCGTTGACTCAACACTAAGCCTTCTAGGACACGAGTAACCTCTATCCCACAGAAATATTTGAGATTTCCAAGGTCTTTGATGCTGAATCGTTTGTTAAGTTCTTCTTTCGTTTCTTGTATTTTGTTGGTTTCATTCCCCACGATGATGACATCATCGACGTAAATGAGAGCTGCTATAAAGACATTTTCCTGTCGTAATATGAACAGCGAATGATCTGCGTTTGACTGTTTAAACCGTAGCTCGAGAAGGGCATTGGTAAATTTCTTATACCAATTTTGAGAAGCTTGTTTCAAGCCATACAATGACTTTCTGAGCCTACATACTTTTGTTTCTCCTTCTTTAGCAAATCCTTGAGGGATCTTCATATAMACTTCTTCGTTTAAGTCACCATGCAAGAAAGCATTATTGACGTCTAGTTGTTGTATGGACCAATTTCTTTTGATAGCGACTGCAAGCAAAGTGTGTACAGTGACAGGTTTAGCAACTGGAGCGAAGATATCATGATAATCCACGCCCTCTAGTTGCGTGAAACCTTTTGCAACCAGACGTGCTTTGAACCTCTCTACTTCTCCATTTGGTTTGTATTTTATTTTGTATACCCATTTTGAATCGATAGCGTGTTTGCCTTCTGGTAAGTCTTCAATGGTCCAGGTATCGTTTTCTTCGAGTGTCTTAACCTCTCTTTTCATGGCGTCTTTCCATTTCTCATCTTTGACTGCTTGATGGAAATATTTTGGCTCATTGATAGAATCGATGGCAGCTAAGAAAACTTTGTGAGAGTTAGAGAAATTATTATAAGAAACATAGTTTGTTAAGGGGTATACCGTGGAAGAGCTTTCAGTTGGCGGGGTGCGCATAAAGTCGATCGAATGGGGCAGCTGAATGATATAATCTTGCAAGTGACGTGACTATGTTCTGGTTCGTTGAGGTCATGAGTATTCAGCGGTTTGATCGTTGTCGTTGTGACTGATGGGGCTATGCTTAGTTTCCACTTCATGCATGTGTTGAGCCTTGTTGTCATGCAAAAAATCAGAATCATCACTTGACGGAGTATATTGATTTTTGACTGAGTCTAACCCACGTTCCTCATCATTGGGAACCTCATAAGGCACGATTTCATCAAAACAATCACCTCCACTTGCCTCGCTTTCAGTTTCGGTGAAAGAGAATTTTGTTTCATGATATCTCACGTCTCTAGATACCGCCATTCTTCTCTTCTCAATGTCATATATTTTATAACCCTTTGTACCGGTTGGATATCCCAAGAAAATCCCTGGTCTCCCCCTCATTTCAAATTTGTCACCTTTGGTTTCTGTGTTTCTGTAGTAAGCTAGACAACCGAAAACCTTCATGAAGTCGTAGTCGGACTTTTGACCAAAAACGATTTCATATGGGGTTATGTTTTCAATCACACAATATGGCAATCGATTAATGATATAGGTGGCAGTCAAGACACACTCACCCCAAAAGCGTTTAGGAAGGTTTGCTTGAAACCTTAAGGCTCGTGTCGTCTCATGGAGGTGTCAATGCTTTCGCTCAACGACTCCGTTCTGTTGAGGCGTRTGTGGACAGGAKGTCTCAAGTTTGATCCYCTCTTCATTATAGAAGTTCAGCATGTCGTTCGAGGTAAACTCGCCGCCATTGTCGCACCTGATCTTCTTAATGTTTTTGTCAAATTGATTCTTTATCATTTTGTGGAAATTCATCAGTAGTTTGCTAGCTTCATGTTTAAACTTCAACAGAAAAACCCAAACAGCTCTACTGAAATCGTCAACTATAGTAAAAAAAATAACCAGCTCCTGATAAAGGAGTACGGTATTTACCCCAAATGTCACAATGCAATAACTCAAAAGAACCACTAGTTTTAATTTCACTATTTGAAAAGGGAAGCCTTGTGTGCTTGGCTTTAGAACAAGAATCACATTGTTCATTAAAAGAAAAACTACCAAGAGACTCGATTTTGGCAAGCTTTTCGTTTGAAGCGTGACCTAGCCTTTTGTGCCAAATGTCACCCGTCGTCATCATCGCGTTTCTAGACTTCTCAAGGACTCCCATTCGGTACAGACCCCTCTTGCATTCACCCGCACCAATCAAGCTCTACGTGTACAGCTTCTGCATAACACAAAAGTCAGGAAAGAAGGTTACTGCACATTGAAGATCTTTACATATTTGACTTACTGACAGGAGATTGCAAGTGAATTTAGGTATGTGAAGGACACCATTGAGTTTAGTACCACCAGGCAAAGAAAAACTTCCTTTTCCCTCAACTTGGATAGCATCACCATTAGGATTAAGAACAAGATTTTCAAAATGAGCTTTGGTTATGTTTTCAAGAATGCCATCGTCGTGGGTGATGTGCTCGGTTGATCCCGAGTCCACAACCCAATCATTGTTAACATCCCTTTTACCTGTCATGTAAGCTGTCGGCTTGATCCCGTCCTTATTCGTACCTTCCTTATCTTCAAAGTGCTTCAAAAAGGTCTTGTATTGGTCGGCACTCAGGCCTAGAATGGGACTCAATTCCACGTCAACACAGGCAACTTTTGGCTTCGATTTCGTTCGCTTTTTGTTTCCCGGCCACCACTCGGGATATCCTATCCTTTTGAAACAACCCTCTTTGGAGTGACTGTCCTTTCCACATAAAGTACAGTTTTAAACGATCTCTCCTTTCTTCGCATCGGTGGGCCCTGTTTTGTCACGTTGCTGGTTTGGAGTGCTTTCACGTCGGACTGGCATGGTGGTCTTGAAGGCCGCTGCCTCCACTGAAGGTCTCTTGTCACTAGAAATAGCTCTTTGCCGCTCGTCCTCCGCAATAAGGTGGTAAGCGTTCCCTAGATTAGGAATCGGATTTGTAGCCAAAATCTGGGTCCTAATGACGGAGAATTCGTTATCAAGACCCATGAGGAATTCGTACAATTTTTCTTTGTCTTTCAGTTGACTTAGGCTTTTGGTGACGTCACACTTGCATCCACTGCATGTGCAGCGGGGTAAGAGCAATGCAACTTGCATCTCGTCCTATATGGCTCGGAGCTTGGTGTAGTATGTTGACACGGATGCCCCATTCTGGTGGGTAGATGCCAGCATTTGCTTGAGCTCGTAAGCACGAGGAGCACTCTCCTTTCCGAATCGTTCTTGAAGGTCCGCCCAAATTTCTGAAGCGGTATTAGCGTACTTTACGCTTCCTCTGATATCTCTTTCCATTGTCGTGATGAGCCAGCCCTTCACCATAGCATCACAACGCATCCACAACATGTAGTTGGCATGAGTCTTTTCGGGTTTCTCGATGGTGCCATCAACGAAGCCTACCTTGTTTTTGGCAAAGAGAAAATTCATCATCTCTTGCGACCAATCTGCATAATTGTTGTCGGTGAGATTATCGTTGACGTGCATCTGTTTCGGGTAATCGGATGCATGGATGTAGAACGGTGAGTTCGGATCCGGTGCATCATTCTTTTTGTTCGAGGACTTTGTGCCGCCGGTCATGTCTGTCGGCTATTTGAGACTTTTAGGGTTTGGAAGTAGTCCGCTCTGATACCATGACAAAATCGATAATCAAAGAAGGGTTTTTCATTCATTCATTCATGCTTTCAAATCAGAATACACGGAGGCTATATATAATAGCAAAAGAGATAAACGAGGAAACAAAAAAACCACAAAGATAGGAGATATGCACGGAAGGGAAAAAGGAAAGTAATCTAATCCTAATCCTCTAATCCCAATACACCTAACCAAGTGGGTGGCCGTATTTTGGTTGCCACCATTGAGCGGCTAGATGCTACACTTGGTTGCCACAGCCCTCATCTCGGGTGGCTTTTGATTTTTGGAAGGGTGGAACATCGTTGTAGGTTTTGAGTCGAGGCGGTGCCACAGATTATGTTACTTATATGGTGGTGCGGCTGGGCTGCGACCTTCGGCTGCTGCAGTGAGCCCAACATTGGCAAAATTATTTGTTGTTGCCAGTCTAATACAACTATTGCCGTTATTTCCTTTATCGGCTTCGGTTGTGGTGTGTAATTGGCCATTTAGGAGTCGGGTCATAAGCCGAAGTCTCTCCGTTGGTTGTTTATTTTGTGTTTGCATTTTATTTATTGTTGTATTGATTGCAAACGCTTTTAAATATACTCAAAGCATAAAATAAATTTTAAATCGGTAATTAAAGATAATATTTTAAAATTAATACGTTTATCAAATTCAAATCTATTAATTGGATTAGCTTTTAAAATAGAAGATTTTAAATTTAGATAAACAAAAAAATGTTTTAAAAGATAAAATGTTTTCTAAAATTCAAACATTCACAAAAGTAAACTACATCGTCCATTTAAGGTATTTTGTCAACACTTACAGATTTTGGTATGGCCAGAGTCTAGTCAATCATGCCGATTGTAGTATGACACAAGGCACCATAATAATGAGGTTTGAGTGAACAGAGCATTAACCATTCGCTTAAATAGTCGTGTATTTGGACGACTGATCTCAGTAAACCCTAAGTCAAGAATTTAGGTGGGATCATGATACCTTAATATGGTTGGTTTACTTGAAAATTTCATGGACAACACATTAACTATCTATGAGTATTTTTAGGGCGTTGAAATGGGATTGAACGTGCCAATTTCAGTATATGATATATTGGGTAGAATCCCACGGACACTTAAGAGTTATGTTGAATGTAATTGGATGTTGCTTACCTAAATAACTTATTTCAATAAACAACACATTAACCATTTATGAAAATTGGTGAAATATGGATCTTAGCTCAAATTAAAGTATTTTTGAGAAGTTAGTTATTTATTTTTAGATTTCAAAGTTACTAAAATTGAACTTAATTTTGTAGATGCCTGCTAACTTTTGAAACTTATCCCAATTTACATTGAGGTCAATCCTTGATAAAGAAAAATTGAACGGAACGAACTTCATTAAATAGTTTCGCTTCCTAAGGGTTATTCTTAGGCATGAAAAGAAGTTCCACGTTTTGAAAAACCTCCTCCAAACACTCTTGCTAAGGCTGCTTATGATAAGTAAGTCAATGACTTACTAAAAGTTGGTTGCATTATGTTAGCCTCTATGACTCCCGAGTTATTGCGGTATCATAAATACATGACTGCATGGATATGATATCTTCACTAAAGTCAATGTTCAGTGACAAACTAGGCAAGAAGGGTTTGATAGAATCAGGGCAATGCTTGCACGTAAAAATGGCTCGTAAGTTAGTACCCACGTTGAAAATGAATGGGTATATTAACCGATTGTCCTGTATTGGCTTCCCAAGGAAAAAGGAATTCACAATCAATTTGGTTCTCAATTCCCTACCTAAATCATATGGTCAGTTCATTTTATGATACAATAAGAAAGGTTTGGATAAAAATCTTACAGAGCTTTACGACTTGTTTAAAACTGTTGAGAGGAATATAAAATCCAAGTTGGATTTAACCAAACCAAAATAGTTTTTGACGATCACACCTAAAGGTGGTACAATCGAGAAAAGTAGGGTGGTTGTTAATGGAAAAGGAAAGGTTGGAAGTTCCAACAAAGATAAAGGCAAAAGAAAAATTCTTGAGGATGCAGTATGGTACAACTGCGACCACAAGGGGCACTGGAAGAAAAACTGCCTAAAAAGAAGCAAAAGGCTGTTGTCGGAACTTCATATATGTTTACCTTTAATTTGTTCACTTTGATCATGACTCTTGGGTACCGAGTATGATATTTATTTTGTACAATTCTACAGGGTCTAATAAGTGAGAAGATGAAACCAAACAAAGGATAGGCGATGAAGCTAAAGTAGCTGTTGTTGCATAGGGGCACATATTATATGAAGTTTCCAAGTGGTCTTACTTGAGCACTTAGCAAGTGTTTAAATGTACTTGAGAAAATAATACTACAGATGTAGTTTTATTTTCTCAAGTACGACAAACTGAATTTATGTTTACTTTCAGTAATAACACAATTTCAGTTTACCTTTACAATGTTTTGTATTTTGTGGACAAAACCACGTAATGGTATATATGAAATTAATAGTTGTAATTACAAATCAAAACAAATTAAGTGAGGCTTAAGTAGACCTACTTGTTAGTTATGACATATAAACAAGAAACACATAGCCAAACTCCAGGAAAACGAAGTGTTGGATTCAAGTGATGATTCATATGACACATGCGAGTCTTATTTAAAGATGAAGAAAGTTTTAAAAGGCAAACCTAAAAGAGCTACATAACTACTAGGAGCGAATCATACTTATGTATTATAAGACAACAACTTTAAAAACTTACTCGTTAATTTACCCGAATTGTACGGTATTTAAATGACAGGGTTAAATCCGCCAGATGACTTAACTCTTAATATATATATATATATACTACATATATAAGCATTTAGGTCATTATCATAAATACAAGTTCTTATGCATAAGTTACAACCATTTTATGCAAGATTTTCAAAAAACTCTTAATTGCAACTCATCACGCATGTGATACAAGTTTTTTATGCATTGAGTTTATTAGCCACGGTCAAACCTTGCTCTTTCTCTTCTCTTTTGTTCTTCTTCCTTTTCCAACTTCCTTTCCTCCTGATCATGAATCCTCAGGTGCGCCAAAACAAAATTGGTAAAGTCAGACCTTTGCTTTCTTCAATTGCTCCAACCTTTGCACATTCCAGCCCTAATTTCAGTCGTCTCACTTCCCTTGAACAAGAAGAACACCACATACTGCATCCGTCTTCGTCCCTCTCTCTCCCGTGCTCTCCTCCATCGTCCCTGCTCTCTCTGGTGCTCTCCTCATCCTGCTCTCCTCCGTCTTACCAGCATCGTCGTCTTCTTTCATCACAAAGTAGGTTTTCTTCATTTCAATTTTTCTACTCTATTCAATCATCTCCTGGTTCGATTCTTCAGCTTTGCTCTCATAAGCCAAGTTCAATTTTCAATGGGCTTCAGCCTAATTGTTTCTGTAACCCTTCTCTTTTTACCGATTCAGTAGCTTTAGGGACCCCTTCAATCGATCTCGGTGGTTCATTCTCTACTCAAGGTAACTGTAATGGTTTCTGTTTTCAAGGTATCGATATCTTGCTTGTGGTTTATCGATTCAGAGTGGGTTTCGACCCTAATGGCTTATGTATCAATTCTCAATGGGTTTCAACCCTGAAAGCTCATGTTTTTGTACCATAGGTTCTGGTCTTAAAGGTTTATGTATCGATTCTCAATGGGTTTCAAACTTGAAAGCTCTTTTTTTGTACCTTGCTTTTGCTTAACATATATTTTCTCTTGTTGCTTGCTTTTGTTTTCGATGTTTATGGCTTCAATTTTTTTTAACTTTCTTTTGATGTACTTGACACTCTTGCAGAGATCCAAGAATGCCATGATGCAGTAAGATAAGTAGAAAGGAAGCTTCTTGATTTTGCAAAGGTGTGAATTTTTTTAACTCTACAACCATGAGGCAATAGATAAGAAATTTGGAGTTTACCTAATTGTCCTGGATGGTTGATTTGTGGTGTCATGTTGATCTATTCCATGATTTTTCTACCATTCTACATGTGGGTACCACCACAGACAAAGCATTCATGACCTAATCATCCCCACAATATCACCACTAAGAAGGATCTTTGTTGAAAAGTTTGAAGTTCTTTTTAGAACACTTCACCTCTGTTTTTCCTTGATGTGATGTACATTTATCAAATGTTGAGTTATTTGCTGAACTAAATTGTATGACTCTGCCACCTAAGAGTTGCTATTTTGAGACACTAGACTTTAATTTATAGGCTTCTATGTTTTTCTTGATTAATGGGTTCTTTTTCTTCTATGTTTTGTAGGAGGAACATGATGGTTGAATCAGGAACCTGGAGAAAAGATTTTATTGTCGATGGTTTAGAAAGTTACCTGTCATATAACCTGCCAAAGGTGAAACCGTTATGATATTTATATATAGAACTCATAAGTCACAACCGTATTCTTAGGGTGCATTTCTTAGAACCATATGCTTGAGTCTTTGCACTATTCTACTGCACTTTTACTTGCATTATAATGATGTGGTATGTACCTCCTGTGGTGTCATGAGTATTTACTAACTTGAGGAACAAGTAGAACTGAGAAAAAAGAATTTGTTAGTGGCGTCAAAATCACATATATGTAACTGAGACCCACAACATTCTAGCAACCTAATGTCATGTAACACAGATATATTTTATGACCAGGTAACAGGTTTCAAGTTCCCTTCATGGGTTGCTACATTTCAAGTTCCCCTGTAAACTTTGCTGCAAAGAGGCAGATGTGTGTTCCAAGAAGTTGTCTTAGGCATGGTATGAGTCTTTCCACAAGAAATTACATGACTATTTGTGGAAGGCTAAGTGAGAACATTTGAGTGGTTTAGAGCTCTGGTGGAACACACATCTGCCTGTTTGCACCTATTAAATTTACACCAGAGCTCTAAACCACAGGCCCCTTAGATGGTAACAGCCTAAATCTAAATATAAATAGGACATGAAGACTATACAGAATATCAGGAATATTGTGCTGAGGGGTGCCTTTGAAGGAGCATTTGGCTGTTTGCTTATAACATATGCAACTGGCTATATATATAAATGTGTTTATATATAAATCTGTTTTTAGGTATAATCTATTTATATGTGTCTACACATAAATCCCTGCTTAACTAAACACATATTCAAAAATCCAGCATGTAAACAGGTTGCAATAACCCATATAAAAAATCCAGATTTCTTCATGGGTTTTCAAAATCTTGATCCTTCATTTATGTATGTGTTTGTATATATATATATATGTAGAGTACTTATTTGATGTGTATGTGTGTGTGTATATATACACACACACACACACTCTCTCTATTTGAGGCATATATATGTATGAGCTTTACTATGGTTACATAATAAATGTGCAAATTCTGTAGCTAACATGTTTTTAGCTAATCAGAGATATATGAGCTTTACTATGGTGGTTTGCAATGAGAAACTAACTACAATAATTTGAAATTTCAATATGCCTTATCGGGAGAGTGTTTATCACTTAGGGGGTGTTTATTGGAGGTATTAAGCAGTAAATAATGAGACTGAAAAATAAAAGAAGCTATTTGGTTTAGAATTTGATGCTATATTTGTTTCTTGACATATACAACAATGATCATCTACTTTATTTTGGGACTGCATTCTTGTTTGGTATAAGTTGCAAAATCAAGTTAATGTAAATTCTGCAAACAAGTTGTGAAGGGCTGTTTGGTTGTTATACCCCTGTGCCTGCTGCTGCTGCTGCTGCAATGAAAATACCCATGTGCCTGCCTGCTGCTGTCATTCCTACTTAAACACCCAACTGTTGCAAATCAATCTGTTTTGTGTTCTTCACTATTTTTCAAGCTTCAATTTTCAAGCTTCAATCTATTTTGTGTTCTTTACTATTATGCGTTCTCATGTTCCCAACAGGTGTTTAACACACTTGTGTTTGAAATGGACTTACATATGTGGCTGGTGCACCCCAATCTGTCTGTATAATCAAAATTGAGTGGTTTTTGTTAGTTACAAATTCAGGGAATGGTAGAAGAGTAGGCAAGGAGAGTTGATCTGGTTTGTTTTAGTACTACTTACTTAATTATTCAGCTAAATGCTATCTTTATATATTCAGCTAAATGTTATATTTATGTGATTTAAATTTTTACCAGATCTTCCTCAAGGTTGTTTGCACCTTATATCGTCTACTAAAGTTTCCTTTTTGGCTAAATCTAATGTTTCTTTTCGTAACTTAACAAAACCAAGAACGTGATATGGTGATTGGGGACGTGGCTATCCGGGAAAACAAGTCGAACTATGTCGACTTGATGGCAGGGAGGATGTGTGTAATCAAATAGGATGTCGAACTGTTTCTTCCTCAAGGTTGTTTGCAAAACGATTTGATGTGTATAATTTTGTTTGTTTTACTGTTTGTACATGTTGCTGTGGGTACAATGGATGGTATGAATATATACATACATACATATAAGATGGGCTACATGCTTTCCCTGTGCTTTTTGGTATGAATATATACATACATATCGGAATTTCCTCAAGACATTGCTTGTTTTCTTATTGGTTTAATCAAGTTAGTAGTTCTGTTAAATTTTAAGATGGGCGTTATTGTACTACGGAAATCATATATATCTCAACCAAATCATTCAACATTGAACCGTAGAGATGAAATTGTTTCTATTAGAGTCCCACATCTGCAGACTTGGAACTATTTATGCTCAATGTATGTTGGAACCTTATGTTTTCTCTCAAGGGTTCTTTTTGGAAAGTAATTTGACGGGGTTTCACATATTTTCATAGTATAAGAAAGCAATGAGAAGATGCTTATTGTTGGGAGTTTATAGTAATAACAAGGTTTTTATGATGGCATGGCATGGCATGGCAGGGAGGAAGCTGGTGGGAGRAAGTTTGATTGGAGGGATAAAGGAGACACAAGAGATGATAGATTTTGCAGCAAAACACAATATCACAGCCGCAATCGWGCTCATTYCRATAGACTATATCAACACRGCCATGGAGCRTCTAGCAAAARCTGATGTMCGTTATCGTTTTGTTATCGATGTCGTTAACACATTGAAATAAATTTCAACTCCTTATAAGTCTGTATGCTGTCTTGCATTTCCTATTGCTATAGGTGGTTTGGATTTTAGAAGACTTGTTATCACCCCAAGCTGTAGCACCATAAAGCATGCAGTTTGTAGTATTTMATTTTTGTATTACTCGCATACAATARGGAAAGAAGTACCTTAACAAATTGGAGGTTTGGATATGTTCGATTTGCCATGCGTTTTCTATATACATGAAAGAACACTTTGAAATAAAAACTTTTTAAATTTATATAGACAGATTAATTAATGCAGACAACTTTATTTATATGATACTTGATAAAGAAAACCAATCAAACAGCTCCATAATATGCAACCATTTTTTTGGATGAAATTGTTATATGAAAAATTATAAAATAGAACTTTAAGATCCTTTTATTTTGTGATACAAATACTATGAAACCAAATATCCTTAATAATCCAATTGCTTTTCAGTATTCGTGTATGTATTATCTGTACTATATTAATAAGCATTTAGACCAAAAGTCTTAATTATAAGTCTTAAAGCATCAAGTACTATCAATTTATGCAAGAGATTTGAAAATCTCTTAAGTACACACTATTATGCATAATGTACAAATGCTTAAAACATATCATTTGTTTGGTYAAAGTTTTAGATTTAAATAAACCATATTTACATGAAMAATCTATGTTTGGTCTTYCAAGAGTTGTTTGACGYTTTGTTTGTTTCYTATTTTGAACYCAAATTCAAATTCAAAGTTCATCTTTCTCTTGAAGTAAACTGAAATTTGAAGCAACAATATCAGAAAGGGTTTCAGATCCTGCATGTACCCCACCCCAACCCTTCAATTTTATATGGGCTTAGAAACTCAACATGTGTTCAATTATTTTTCTAATCGATCTTGCTAATACATCATATTAACCTTTAACTTTATGTTTTAGTTGACTTGTTAAATAGCCACACAAACTCATGATTCAAGACTAAACTAATGTTTCAGAATTGTGATTCACCCGCGCTGCATCGTGCGGGTACACCACTAGTATATATATATATATATAAAAAGAGAGAGATGAGCGATCAAATGCTAACCACCCTCTTTTGTGCAAACCCTACGAACCAATCTTATTCCTCCATTTTCTTGATCGATGGTGATGATTAAATGGTGTTATATTAAGAAGGTAAAAACAAGTGTAATACTTAATGAAAAAAAAGGGTAAAATTGACAATCATCCATATGGTTCTAGGCTTATTGTTCGATGATTTCCGTGTTTCAAAACCCTTTCATTGCGCTCATCCCGTTCAATCAGGAGGAGATCGCTACCTTGATTAAGAGTTATATGCTTACCAAAAACAGACCTGTGTGAAGAGATTTGAAGAAAAATCGCGGGACACAATGGAGGTAACAATCCTATGTTTTCATAACAATGAAATCGACGATAATTTATAAGTTATGTTTGTTTGGTTGACAGGTAGGAGGCGATTAAGTGACCAACTAAGGGAGATGCATAGTTTCTCCACGTTCACTAACACTGCAGAGAAAATAGTTGAACATGATGAGGAGGGGGTGGACATTGACTCCATTAATCAACAAATGAATAAAAGGGGGAAGAAGAATGTAAATCCCGACTCGAGAGGTAAAATTGCATACTATATCTTTTTACTTGGAAATTGGCATAATATATGATTTGGGACTAGTTAATTGAGAATGAGATAAAACGCTATGTATATGGTATTCAATCTTTTATTATGAGGCTGAATGTTAAAAATCCTGATTCATACCAAGTTGAAACTGTGTCATTCATCTTGATATTTCTTAGTTCAATTCAACATAATATAGTTAACATAGATGTTGAACAAATTAGAGGTATATATGTTGACTTGTGTGTACACTAAAGAATATTGATTCATGAATTAGAGATGTAAAGTTCATATGATTCTTAAGTTCAGTGTGAGATTGTAAGATTGTTTTGTGAACGTAACATATAGTACTTATTCAGACTTTACAGTAGCTTATACATGAATTGATATACAAGTTGAATTTTTTTACATATATAGTTATGTAATTTTATAAATCATATGCACATATATGATCATCTATTTCATAAATCTGTATGAAACAGGTTCATATGATATGAAACATGTTCATAATTGAGCACCTATTGGTTCCATTCGTACCAAGTTGAAATTGTGTCATTCGTTTTGTTCTTATGTATCTTTAACCAATATGAGGCTAGAACTGTGCCTATACTGTTAAGAAGGGAAACAAACATACATGTAACTGATTCACAGTATGAAAATTACACCTGAAATTGATTCACAATATGAAAATCACATGGCCTTAGATTATTTTGTGAACTTAACCTACAATACTTATTCAGACTTTACAGTAGTTTATACAAGAATTGATATACAAGTTGATTTATTTACATATAGTTATGTCTTTTTATAAATCATATGCACATATATGTTCATCTGTTTCATAAATCTGTATGAAACAGGTTCATAATTGAGCACCTATTGGTTCCAAACTCTCATGATCAATTTGAATTGTATAATCTTGTGACTGTACTTGGTCCTTTGTTACATGAAATACATTCAAAGCCACCACAATAATCACATTAAGAAATGCACTCGTAATTTGTTACCTAAAATTATTGTTGATAAACCTGGTTTTAACTCTAATAAGTGAACCAAATAGAGCCATGAACCAATGTTGACAGGAAGTTGTGTCTACTTATATAACGATGCTTTGTATGCTCTCTATATACTCGAGCTGCCAACTTAATTTTCTATGATTTCTCAAGATCAGGGTTTTTAGTCACCCTGTTTGTGTAATAGAGAGAGAGAGAGAATTACATGCCTTAATTAAGGAAATTTTTACTCCAGAAGGAATTAGATGCCTTAATAACGACATGTGGCAGAAGTATATCTATGGACCATTTATGTAACATGACACATATGTTGAAAGTCATACGTCTGTTGTAATTTAAGTGCCCTAGGTGTGCAAGCATAGTTAGAAGAACTGCATTATTTTGAATTAGTTACTGTCATGCATCTTAAAAACTTAGACATTAGGCATGAAACATGACAAGTTTCTTATGTACTTTAACAAAGGGTGCAAAATGGAAGTGGTCGATATAAATGGAAAGAAGGAGACAAATATACAGATGGAAGGAGTATAACATATGTTTGAAATTTCTACAAGACAATGGCTAGACGAGGGTTAATTTTCTATAAAAAGACCTCTTGAGGCACTTTGGTCTAAACTGCAGGTATGTAATATGTTGAGTCCTTCGTTTTTGGTTTTGTCCAATGATCCTTCTCTTTATTTTGACTACCCTCCTCTTTTGGTGGACTATGCTTTTCGGTTCTGTAGTTATTATCTATTAACAGATACATAGTCTTCACTTAGTCACTTCTATTGTTCTATATTTATCTCATGAATAGTATGAGGTAGTTTATTCCTGGGAAATAGATTATTGCTTCTATCTATAGCAAATAAAGGGACCCAATCTGCTGCAAAGAGGATACTATTTTACAAATTCATGTTATTTTATTCTTGGGAAATAGCTTATTGCATTTATCTGTTTCAAATAAAGGTACTATATGTATTTTGCAAAGAGGATACTATTTTACATGTCCATGATCAATATAAAAACATGAACTAATGATCAAAGGGCCTTATATAGTCACAGTAACATGTGACCCTCTGCCTCAAGGCCACTACAATGTACCACCTCTGCCCAAAATACCTTTTTATTTAATCATCATATTGTTATTTTTTTTTGGAAACAAGATGAAAAGTTTGTAGAAAAAATGTAGTCTAGAAAAATCTTGATTCATACCAAGTTGGAACTGTGTCATTCATTTTGTTCTTATGTATCTTTAATCAATATGAGGCTGGAACTTTGCCTATACTGTTAAGAAGGGAAACAAACATGCATATAACTGATTCACATTATGAAAATCACATATGAAACTGGTTCACAGTTTGAAAATCACATGGCCTTAGATTGTTTTGTGAACTCAACATATAGTACTTATTCAAACTATACAGTAGTTTATACATGAATTGATATGCAAGTTGATTTATTTACATATACATTTATGTCTTTTTATAGATCATATGCACATATATGATCATCTGTTTCATAAATCTGTATGAAACAGGTTCATAATTGAGCACCTATTGGTTCCAAACTCTCATGATGAATTTGAATTCTATAATCTTGTTACTGTACTTGGTTCTTTGTTACCTGAAATACATTCAAAGCCACCACAATAATCACATTAAGAAATGCCTTCTTAATTTGTAACCTAAAATTATCGTGAATAAACCTGGTCTTAACTCTAATAAGTGCACCAAACAGAGCCATGAACCAATGTTGACAGCAAGTTGTGTCTACTTATATAACGATGGTTTGTGTGCTCTTTATATACTCGAACTGCCAACTTAATTTTCTATGATTTCTCAAGATCAGGGTTTTAAGTCACCCTGTTTATGTAATAGAGAGAGAGAGAGAGAAAGAGATAGAATTCCATGCCTTAATTAAGGAAACCTTTACTCCAACAGAAATTAGATGCCTTAATCACGGACATGTGGTAGAAGTATATCTATGAACCATTTATGTAACATGTATATATGTATATTCAACCAAAATGAGGCTGGAACTATGCCTATACTATTGTAAAGAAGGGAAAAAAACATGCGTGTAACTGATTCACAGTATGAAAATCAGACATGAAACAAATTCACAGTATGAAAATCACTTTTAATTATTGTGCATCAACATCATGAACCTGTTTCATACATGAAACATATATGTGTTGTAAATTCACATACACTACTAATCGAACGTATATTCAAATAGTGTTGTTGTTCAGAACCCAAACCTTGGTAAGCTAAAGAAAGTGAAGGTTATAACAAACAAAACTGCCTCATCGAGCCATGGTAAGACAGAACCTGTTTCCCCACATAAACCCCCGGTGAAAGTAGCAGAAACCAATACTACCGAGAAATCAGTTGAACTTGCTGAAGAGGGGGTGGATATTGACTTCATTAATCAACAGATAAAGAAAAGGGGGAAGAAGAATGTTAATTCTGATGCCAGAGGTAAAATTGCATTATATTTCCTTTTTCTTGGATCTTTGGCAAAATATATATGATTTTGTAGTAGTTAATGGATAATTAGATGTAAATTGGTTCCTCAACAAACAACAACAATAAAGATTATTTGAAACCTGTTTCATACCAATCTGAAATATTGTCCTTCATTATTTCATTGACTTTCCTTCCATTGATATATTTGTCATATCCTGTTCCTAAAAAACCACAAGGGTGGTGCCTGATTGGTTTGAGCTTGGATCCAAAGGTCAAAAGTACCACGAGGTCCCAGGTTCAAATCCAAGTAGGAATAAAAATTCTCTTGTGGCTATGGAGGTTCAAATGCAGTGACTCCGAGCTATCTGCATAGCAGGTGGTAGCCCTAGGATTAGTCGGCTCACATAATGGGTTGGATATCCAGGTTGATAAAAAAACATATTTTTATAAACAACTTGGCAAAATCTATTATTTGGGATTGAACTGGTTAATGAAACAGATTGACGTTATCTGAAACTTGTTTCATACCAATCCAAATTTTTTTTTCATACCAATCTGATTCATGATGAGAATACATCAACAACCTCATATCAAGTACCAACAGCTAAAGTTAAAAGAAAACCAATATAACGTCGAATTAAATTGTGGTTAGTGTAGGTAAAACGTCGATAGAAAGGGTGAAGGATGGGTCAGAAGAATTAACCAAAGAATTAGATGGTATGCATCTAGTATAACATATTCAAACAGTTTTTGTTGAACCATTCTGTTGAAATTGTTTCACTTGTTCAAAATTCCGGAATGAATTTATTAGTTTTGGTTTGTTTTTTTCTTTTACCATAATGTTAGTGGAAGATATAACATTTATATGATTAATATATGAAACTTAAAATGTTGTAACTTCACATACACTAATTGAACGTATACCTTCAGATAGTGATCTTGTTCAAAACCCAAACCTTGGTAAGCTAAAGAAAGTATAGTGATTTTGTTCAAAACCCAAACCTTGGTAAGCTAAAGAAAGTGAAGGGTACGACAAACAAAAATGCCTCATCAAGCCATGGTCAGTCAGAACCCGTTTCCCCATATAAACATCTGGTGAAAGTAGTAAAAACCAACAGAGAAACTCAGCAGATGTAACATCCCATTCCACACACTGCATGTAATATATACTTCATATACAAGAAATAAATGTTTGTACACCACATTGGTCCCATAGTACAAGAATCTACCAGTACAAAATACATGGTTCAAAAATTAAAAATACAATTCTCGTACTAATCAACTTTCATCTATCAAAAATTATACATATCATCAACAATTCTTCATGCAGATAAACATATAAGAAAATATTGCATTTTCCCCTTCCTCTTACCGTCTGCACTTCCTGCAATACATATTTAAAAATCACAAAACGAGGGTTAGACCGGAAGGTCTAGTGAGTTCTCTTTTATGTTATTGCAGGGTGAAAATCACCAAAAACTTTTATGTAAAACAACTTTTCATATATATAACAAAAATATGACCAAGTATAAACATATTATCAGCACCTTCCACTTTTCAAGCCAAACTCTCTGTTTACAAATAATACATTAAAACCACAAATAGATTTGTACTAACCAAGTATATCATAGTGCCACTATTAAACCTTTTTAAATAAACAAGGTTTATTCAAAGTTTCAGGCCAAACCTGTTATTTCCTCCTCAATAACATCCTGACTATGATTTTCAATAAGAGCTCTGATTCTAAATCCTTAAATCACAAGGAAATAAAGATTCCAAATCATAGTAATCTGAAAGGATATAATAGTAAGAGTTATATTACATAACACATATACAAATGGCACCCTTATATCCAAATGTACACATCTCCTTGATATGTCACCCTTATCCCATGGTACACCTTTCCTTGATATGCCACCCTTATCCCATAGTACACCTCTCCTTGATATGCCACTCTTATTTCCTCATCAAAATATTTCACAAAACAATTCCATATAGATCAGACCGCAGTCTATGGAATATTATCAGTTCAAAATCATTTTTATTAAAATTCCCAATTTTTGTTAAAAGAATCAACAAAATGATAAGTCAACACATAATCCGGTTAAACCTTGGCCGGATTACCAATCCGGACAACACTTCCCATTGTGTCCGATTTAACACTTCGATTATTTCTCAATACTTTGTCCGGATTACTAGTCCGGACAACACTATTCAAGACCTGTCTGATTAATAAGTAAACCGATCACCTTTAGTCGTATTCATACTTTTCCGTTCAAAACACTTGACATAATTTCAAAGTCATAAATCGCTCAATACCTAAACCGGTTAATACATTGGTCGAATACCCTTAAACCGGGTGAGACTATGTCCGGTTTATTCTAATCCGGTCAACACATCAGGCGGTTTATATTTAAATCGCTCATGTCTTGTCCGATTTAAGCTTAAACCGGCCAACACTTTGTCCGGTTTAACTTTAATCCATTCAACACTCATCCGATTAAAACTTAAACTTAAATCGGGTGAAAAGCTTTTTAAAACACAATCAAAATACAATTTAAAGAGATTCAAAGCATTTTAACCACTCACCTTGAATTTCCTTTTGAAAATCAGACACTTGAAATTCACTTGTAATCCGGTCAAGATTCCTCTTCTAAATCGCACAATCTTACTAAGAATGGCCAGAAAAGAAAAATAGAGGTTTCAACCTCTTTTTATACCCTTCCCAAACAGGGAAGGCGGTTACACTACTCCCACATGCATTCATACATACATCATGCATGTATGTTCATATATATATATATATGTATATATATATATATATATATATAGATATATGTATGTATACATACCCAATTCCATGCATATATATCATGCATACATATATATATATATATATATATATATTTCATATTATGCATATCAATATCATACCTATGCATAAAATACACATACTCACGTTTTTAACGTATGTAAGCATGTATCCACATAAACAATTAATTCACATAATAAATACCTTGGGTAATAACCAGGACCCGGTTATCACATTATCCACCCCTTCAAAAGAATTCCGTCTCGAAATTCCTTTAATCAAAGAGCCACAGGTACTCTGATTTCATTTTTGATTCCAATTCCCAGGTTGCCTCTGGTCCTTTGTGAAACTTCCACTGTACTTTAACTATACTGATTTCTTTCTTTCTTAACACCCTGATTTTTCGGTCAATCACGGCTTCTGGTGTTTCCACAAAGTTCAATTTACCAACCTCTGGCAATGGTACAGCTAGACTCGGATCAGCTAAACATTTTCGCAAGTTCGATACGTGAAAAGTGTTGTGGATCAGACTTAGTTCTTCTGGTAGTTCTAACTGATATGCTACTGGCCCAATTCGCTTACATATTCTGAATGGTCCAACATACCTCGGACTGAGCTTAACTTTCTTTCCAAATCTGATAACACCCTTCCACGATGAAATTTTCAACATCACAAAATCACCTATACAAACTCAATCGGCTTTCGGCGATTATTAGCATAGCTTTTCTGGCGGTCTTGTGCTGTTCTAATTGTTTCACGGATCTGTTCAATCTTCTCAGAAGCCTCTTGAACAATCTCAGGACCCGTCAATTGCCTTTCACCTACCTCGTTCCAACATAACGGCGTTCGATATTTACGTCCATACAGTAGTTCATACGGTGCAGCTTGGATGCTGGAATGGTAACTGTTATTGTATGCAAATTCTATTAGTGGCAAATGATCTTCCCATGATCCCCAAAGTCTATGACACAACTTCTCAACATATTCTCAAGAGTCTGGATAGTCCTTTCAATTTGCCCGTCAGTTTGCGGATGATAGGCTGTGCTTAGTCGGATTTCAGATCCCAAAGCTTTTTGTAAACTTTCCCAAAACATTGAAGTGAAACGATTATCTCTATCAGAGATAATAGATAATGGAACTCCGTGTGGTTACAATCTCTTTGATATAAATCTGTGCCAGTTTTTCTAAAGAGTAATTCTCTCTTATATGTAGAAAATGCGCAGATTTAGATAGGCGATCAACAATTACCCAGATTGCATCATACCCCTTTGAAGTTCGAGGTAACTTCATGACGAAATCCATAGTAATATGATCTCATTTCCACACAGGGATTTCCAAAGATTGAAGACTTCCATATGGCTTTTGATGCTCAATCTTCACCTATAGACATGTTATACATTGTTCCACATATCTAGCTATATCTCTCTTTAATCCAGGCTACCAATATAAAGGTTTCAAGTCTCTATACATTTTTATTGGTACCTGGGTGAATAGAGTATTGGGACTTGTGGATTTCATTTAGTATAGTACTCTTGATATCTCCAAAATACGGTACCCAAATTCGCCCTTGAAAGCACATAAGTCCTTTGTTCGGTTCCAGAGTTGAAATCATCTTACCCAACCTTTCTGTTTTTGACAAAATCTTCTTTCATGGCTTCTTTCTGACATCTCATAATCTCTTTACGAATAGCAGGAACTAAACTTATTCTCATTGTGTTGATCATCTCTCTCAGTGATTTGATGGTAATCCCTTTTCACTTATACATTGTATTTACGTTTCTGTCTTTTCAGTTTCAGCGATCTTTACTGAGTATGTTTAGTGATTGCTGAAGAACTTGCATTGTAAATCTATCAGAGACAACAATACTTCAATAAGACAACACTCACACCAAAGATCCTTCAGCAAATGTTGAAGACTGAAACTGAAGATTAGAGACTGACGAGTACGTCTTCTGAAGTGGTATTCAGTGATTACAAGTCTGTCTACATATGTGTGAAGATTGCTCAAGCAACAACGAATGATGATGAGACCTTCAGGTCATTCCAGCATTCAACGATCAAAGGAAGCTTGCTTAGCACAAAGGACAAAACCCATACCCTTATGAAAGTTGGTACGGTACGGAGCCGACTAGTCGACTCTATTGTCCACCAACTTTAGGTAAGGATGTTTGCTCATGAATAGTGCTTTTTTTACTATT